GCTCGTTACGGTGAGGACACTTCAGCTAGCTATTAACGGCCACGTCAGGTTCTGCATTCTTTTATCGATGTGTAAATCCCGTTCCAGTGTTGGGGAGTAGATACACGTGGTGAATTTACTAGTTGAGCTACTTTTTTCAGTAATGCAGCCACTTTCAAAATAACGTAGTTTTATTTTTATATCTTAACCTTTTTAAAATTATGCATAAATTGTTTAAAAAAAAAAATCTTTCAAAAGGCATTTTCACTACGAAGTGACGAATAAACTGATGAACTGCTTTCACAGCTAAACTGCATCAGATTCAGACCCCAGTGCGCCTGTGATGTCTGAAACAACTCAGCATGAATGAGAACCAAGGAGAACATTCACAATTTAAGGACATTCATTCAAGGCTTTCATTCACTGCATCTTCAACAGGTGAGGAACGCAGTTACACTTCCTGGCCTGTGCTGGGTTTTCCCGTGTGGTGACGGCAGTGTGAGTGTTTTCCTCACTCTCTGAAAGGGAAGAGGCTTTGTCTGTGTCTGTGTCTGTGTGTGTGTGTGTGTGTGTGTGTGTGTGGGGGGGGGGTATAGGGTGTCTCTGGTCGAGGGGGAGGGGTTTGAGGGTTTATTTCCACGCAGCTGCTGCTGTTCTTTCGGGAACTTGCGCAGGGAGAGCTGCGCTTAACACCCGAGACCTCTAACGAACCAAACCGAGCGGCAGCAGCGTGACAGCAGCTTAACACTGGAAATGTGGTCAGCTGAGCTTAACTAGGCCAAGTCTTTAAAAGGGGCCTTAAAGGAACAGTTTAATGGGAAAAGTCTACATAATTTGCTTTCATCCCAAATGTACTCAAATCAGCCGAGAGGTGTCTGATCTTTGGTTTTGTACTGGAGCTGTGAGGCTAATGGAGCTAACAAGGAGGCTTATCTATAGCAATTAGCTTCACAAAATCATCCCCCTTGTGGAGAAGTTAAAGTGAGAAATTCACCAATCTTTCAAAATTTCTGTATGACCGAATCTTTAAAATGTAAACAAAGTCATTCAGAGAGGTCTGGTGTGAAACTTACCTGTAGGGAAAATCACCAACTCGGATTTCTTTAAAACCACTTTATTCCCAAACCACTAGTGAACCTACAGCCATCTTGTGAGTTTTTACATGTAAATCCGACATAAAGCAAACTACAAAAACATGGTAAAAAGTTTCAGGCATGATGTAAAATATTCCAACCATTTCTTGGAATATGTTTTGGAGACTGGGAGCTTTTAGAGGCATTAAACTCGTCAGACGTCTGGTTCCTATTACCACCACATGAACAATTCTAACATGGAAAGTTTCTCTAGAACTGAGCAGTTTTTATCAAACCACACTGAACAACTTTGTTCACATCTTAACCATTTAACTGTGCATAAATTTAGAAAATTTACGGTAGTTTCCCTTTGAGCAATCTTAAATAAACATGCTTCTGTGACACTGTATGATATCAATACTATCAAATTTTCAGCATCGAGGAAAAAAAGCAGAGAACACATTTAAAAGTAAATCACACAGAAGCATCAACAAGAAATATAATATTTATCTTCGCAGTTTTTAGTGTGTCCACCTTTCTTTATTACAGCCTTCCTTCTTTTCGGAAGTTCTGCATTTAGTTTTTTCAAAGAAATTTGCAAGATGTTTTTCCACACCTCCAAAGTTCAGATTCAGAAGTTGGTTGCATTTTCTGCTTCTCATGATTTGAGTAATCCCAAACAGTTGAGGACTGAACTGGACCGGACTCTGGACTCTGGACCGGCCTGTTCATCATTCTGAAAACATTAGCAGCTCTTTTTTTTCCCAATTTTCTCCCCAGTTTAGTCATATCCAGTTCCACCCACTAGTTCTGTCTCCCCCGGTCACATGACACCTAGAGCTCTACACAGTCTTCCCCAGAGTCCTGAGAAGCTCCACCATCGTCATAAACTGCCGCTAACGCAGCATCACTGTACAGCTGTACATCAGCTAACAGACACCGCCCTGCCCACCCAGAGAGAGCGAGTAGCATCACAGATCGACCTTGTGATCTTCTGATTACGGTTCAGCACTACCTACCTTCTCAGACTCAGTGTCTTCTCACAGTGGAAGGATGGACAGAAACAGCTGTGGATGTTTTCAGATCTGAAGCAGCTTGATTTTCTCCTCTCTCTCAAAGATGGAGGCTTTAAGGGCTGTTTGTGGGATGGTTCTGATGGTCTGCAAGGTCCTACACTGTTGTTAAGAGTCCCATTTTCCCTATTAATAACTTTCTGTAGTCAAAAACTTTCCTCTTCATAAAGCAAGTGGACTATTTTACACCTAATCTCCTGCGCACTACTTCCTGAAAAGTACTTAATGGTGGTTTTGGATGGAAATTAAAAATGAAAGATATTCTTTGACTTTTGCACAGTATTTTCCTCATGGGCCCTTTCGCAGAACAGATGCTTTTTCAAATAAGTGTTTGTCACTTTCTCCTACAAAGGGTCACATATTCGACCTGGATGTGGTGCACAAGAAGAATGTCAAACCAAAAAAGTGGGTTCAGCAGAGCCGCACACAAAGGCCAGCCAAAGAAATTTTGGGCAGTAACTGTGTCCTGTGTCTGCACATTGAAATCCATGCAGTTGTAGAGTTCTTTTATATAAAGGTCCCAATCAGGACCCTTTGGGAAATTTTCTTTTCTTTTGCTATAGGGATGAGATTTTTGATTTTCTCTCTCTCTCCGTTTAGTCTTTCAATGCATGGCCTTCGAAGTATATTACAAGGACAAATACAAACCAGAGAGAAACAACAAAGTCTTCGCTTCAATGGCTTTTAAAACTGAGCCATATAAAGCAAACGATGGATAGAATATTAATGCGCTTAAACTCGTATTAAAAGCTCAAATTCCCCGTTCAGGGTCATTTTCAGAGGGGAGGGGGGGAAGGAACCACAATCACATGCTCCGTTTTTGAACTCAGCGTTTCTACAGAAGAGATTTCTAAGCAGAACCGCACAAAGCTGGTGTCTTTTCAGTGAATTTAATCAAAAACGTGAATAAAGTGAATCAGGCTAACATGATCAACCTGCCAGCATGTCAGCAGCGGAATATGACTGAGTGCTTTGGCTGGTGCAGCTTAATTAATGCTCTGTCCCCTACATTCATTACCTCTACACAGCCACATTCTCCTTTTTCAGCTATTAGCAGCCTGCACTAATAGAAACAGGCACTGTTAGACGCAGCACAAATATGCACACACACACACACACACCCACACCACAGTCGACCGAATGAGTCATAATGAGCCAATTCAAAAGAAGTTCTGAAGAGGAATATCAAGCCGATATCAATATAATTCAAGTACCGAGGAACTACACCAGTGCGAGAAATACTTGCATGATACAAATGCGTTACGGTATTGAAGGTAAACGCATATGTAGACGTCACGTGACGAACCCATTCTAGCACCTTTATTCAACATAAACGGCAGCGGTTTAATACGAATCCTTCAGCTGATCCGAGGTCTTGCCCCCTCTACTGGATTAAAGCACTGATATTTCTCAAGCATTTCATCTCCACGGTGCACAAAATCAGCAGCCATTAAGCATGAAAAGCCCTCGAAATGCCCAGTCCCATTTCTTATTTTTAGCCCTACCCCTTGTTTTCGAGTGTTGCCCCTTGGAACAGAGTTACAGGGTAGTGGCTGAAATCCTCCCTCTGAAATGGGACCCTCAAATAAAAAGAGCATCACTTCATTAACAGCTACCAGCGCTGCTCTGTAGGCGACCCTGCCAGTCTGCAGTGACAGCAGAGGAGGGTAAAGTTCAGCTCCTCACTGCTGGGCTTTAGTCACATTTAGGGAATCATACAATCTTCAAAGAACGAGGGCAATTATTTATTAACATACACCCCAAATTCTTCAGTGATATGCAGCTGAAGTCAGATATTCACCAGCTTCTTTCAAATTTTCCTGTTCCACCTTAAATGGAGCTGCAGTTACATTCTAGAGCTTCAGGCATCAGAACGGCTGGACTATTTAAGGTGGAATGGGAAATTTAGCCTTTAGCACTACTAGAGATTTATACGCTTGTTATGAAAAAAGGACCATAATACACTGAAACTACATTAAACTATTATAATATAATGGTTATCAAAATTTCAAACAGAGAAAATTCTCACATTGTGTGTTTCTCTGGTTTCTCATCTCACTGGTTTTTCTTTTTTCTCATATCTCTCTGTTTGGAGTCTCTGAAAACCCTCCGGTTGGAGGGTCATGTAGCCCAACACTTCGCCCTCCCCCTCTATCTCAACAAGAATCAGGACACCCTACCCCAGACGAGAACACGCAGCATGGAGGGGTGGGGCTAAATGGTAGGGGTGGGGGTGAAACGGGATTGGGACTTAAACCAAAATATGTATTTGTAAGGGCTTTGAATTATGAGGCGTTGAATTTGAAGGCATCAGCTTTTGAATGTAAATTTGTTAAAGTGTAAATATAAAAATGTATAACTTATAATAATTTGGGGTTCTTAGTGCATTCGGTTCCATTTTACCTACAATCATAACTGCAGCTGTGTAACAGTTTGTGAACATAAAACTAAAGGCAGATTTTTCCAGATCATTGTGATGAGTTCATTCGGATTAACTCGCACAAGTTCGCCTCTCATTTCCTTTTGTGCAACGTTTGACGCCGACAACTATGGTCACTTCCAGGTGGTGACAGACTGACACTGGCGCTGGTAATTACATAAAAACAATGGAGATGTACAGTAGCGTCAGCAAGTAACAGAACTGCATGCAAGTAATATTTTCTCAGAATCTTTCCTCCTGATTAAAATACTCACTAGCACACTTTCAGGGTCAAACTCTCTGCCAGCAACAGCAGTCAGGTGTGTTAGAAAGTGCAACTTGTAGAGCACTCAGCCACCAGAAGGTGCCCTGTGAGTCATTCAAGTGTTTTGACAATAAAAACTCCGATCAACAGGCCATCAGCGTGACCTCATTTCATGAGTAAAGATGAATTACCTGAGGCTGACTTCACAGAGTGCTTTTGTAGAAAGTCTAGAGTTTGAGCCAGAGCTTTTTTATTGCAGTGGGTGGAGAGTTCTTCATTACATTCAAAGCACCTACAGAGAGAGAAGAGACGAATTCATCACAAAACACTAGAGAAGACACAGCATCGGTTTCTCTCCTTACGAGACCAATACAGATACTGAAATCTCAAATATCGATGGATAGTGACACAGATCCACTATTTGAAAACAAAACAGAACGATTAAGCTGTAAAACGAGCTGTTTTTAATTGAAGGACTTCACTTAAGATGAGTATCTAAAAGCTTTCATACTGAGAAGACTCCAGTATTTTCTGTACAATTTTCCAGTACAATTTCTGTATATTTTCCAGTACAACATTGTTTCTCCACTCTGGTCCTTGAGACCCACCACCCTGGACACACATCACACCTACAGGAGCTTTTACGTTCATCCTAAATCCATAGGCATTAATTTAGAGTTGGTCCCCATTTGCAGCTCTAACAACTTCCACTCTTCTGGGAATCTTCCTACAAGATTTTGGAGAGTCTGTGGGAATTTGTGTCCATTCATCCAGAAGAGCATTTGTGAGATCAGACACTGATGCTGGACGCGAAGGTCTGGCTCACAATCTCTGTTCTAGTCCATCCCAAAGGTGTTGGATGGGGTTGAGGTCAGGGCTCTGTGAGGACCAGTTAAGTTCTTCCACACCAAACTCCCCCAGTCAGGCCTTTATGGAGCAGCTTTGTGCACTGGGGTTCAGTCATGCTGGAACAGGAAAGGTTCTTCCCCAAACTGTTCCACAAAGTTGAAAGTGTACAGTTGTCCAAAATGTCTTGTTCTGCTGAAGCATTAAGATTCCCCTTCACTGGAACTAAGGGTTCTAGACCAACCCCTGAAAAACAGCCCCATATCATCATCCCTCCTCCACCAAACTCTACAGCCGGCACAGTGCAGTCAGGCAGGTAACATTCTCCTGGCATTCACCAAACCCAGACTCGTCCATCAGACTGACAGACAGAGAAGCGTGATTGGTCAATCCACAGAATACGTTTCCATTGCTCCAGAGTCCAGTGGCGGAGCTTTAGACCACTCCATCCGACACCTGGCATTGTGCATGTTGATCTTAGGCTTGTGTGCAGCTGGAAACCCATTTCACGAAGCTCCTAATGTGCAGTTCTTGTGCTGATGTTGCTTCCAGAGTCAGTTTGGAGCTCTTCAGTGATTCAACAGAGGACAGGCACTGTGCTCTTCAGCACTCGGCAGCCCACTCTGTGAGTTTGGGTGGTCTAACACGTCGTGGCTGAGCTGTTGTTGCTCCTAGACGCCTCCATTTCACAGTAACAGCATTTACAGTTGACAGGAGCAGATCTAGCAGGACAGACATTCTACAGACTGACTCGTGGCAGAGGAGGCATGCTATAACAGAGCCATGTTTAAAGTCACTGAGCTCTTCAGTGAGACCCTCTACTGCCAGTGTTTGTCTATGGAGACTCCAAGGCTATGAGTTTAATTTTATCCACCTGTGAGTGATGGGTGTGGCCGAAATACCTGAACTCAACGATTAGGAGGTGTGTTGTAATACTTTTGTCCATGTAGTGTGTGTGTGTGTGTGTGTGTGTGTGTGTGTGTGTAGATTGACTGCTTTTAGACTCGTATACAGGTTGCAAGTTCTCCACAACAGGGCAAACACGTGAGGTCATATGTGTATATTAAGTACTTTATAATGGCCCTGAATGAGCACCAGCCTTGTTTATAATAATAATAATAAAAAAACTCAGAGCTCTTAAGGAGACACACACAGAAGATTCAGGAGTTTCTGTTGCAGAGATAAAAGAAGATCTGTAGACTGTGTTTGGTCCTTTTAGACTTCGTTTTGAGTTTCTGTTTCAACGAACGGTACAGAGTCCATCTGGAAGCAGACTGAGACAGACCACCTCAGCAGAGGAGGGTCTGCTTACTTGGCACGCACCAGAGTTCAAATGTCAGCATTTGCATCTGTTCTAACACTAATGGCACCAGCGTTGGTTTTAATAAGCTGCCATGAACACATGAACTCTTAGTGTTCTCCTGCTCTGATACAGACAGGGCTATTCTAGGACCGTCCTTAAGATTTAGTACAACAAAACTACTAATACCTATATTTTCACTTTATTAATTTGCATAATTTTATAGTATAATTTATATTAATTTATTGTATCTGTCATTAAATTATTTGCTGTTGATTGTTGTTCATGAAATCCAAAGCTTTTTCCTTGAATGAAGTGTCGAAGAAAATCGGTTTAGATCTGTAATAATTTGCAGCGAATCTTCTCTCTCCAACTCTGAACGTTATGTGACGCGTATCAATACCACTTTATTTGGATGTTCCACTGTAAATGTTTATACTCCGAATGTCCATTCAGCTCAAATACGCTGTTTGTCCAAAAGTATCCAGATTGTGAATTCAGCTCCTTTAAGCTGCTTTAACTGCTGACACAGGTGTTCAATCGTGCACACACAGCTCGTAAAATCTCCATAGAAAAGCACTGCTAATAGAATGTGATGCTCTGGATAAGCTGTACACGAGCGTAAAGGTGCGTTTACACCTGCAGTGAAATTCCCAAAGCAGAAAACACACAGTTACATTTAAGGTCTGATTTTCTTAGAGTTCATCGAGTGTGTTTACATGCACTTAATAATCTGATAACAGCAGAAAATCAGATTTCGCTAGTAATCCGATCAATGCGTTTCTATGCAAGCAAGCAAGCAAAGTTTATTTATATTGTGCTTTTTACAACAGGTGTTGTCACAAAGCAGCTTTACAGAACAAAACAAAATCAGCATTACAAAAAGAAATCCGGGTCCTAAACCCCATGAGCGTCGCCAGAGGCGACAGTGGCAAGGAAAAACTCCCTAAGAGAAACAGGAAGAAACCTTGAGAGGAACCAAGACTCAGAAGGGGAACCCATCCTCCTCTGGTCGACACCGGATAGGAAACATTGTTAGTACAAAAACGGGGGAAACAGGTGGAGAAAATTATTAATTTGATTAGTTTAGTTTATGCAGCAGCAGCAGCAGCAGCATCAGTGGGGTCAGGATGTGAGGGTGAGGTTATATGCACTTCGGTAATCAGGTATTGGGGGGAAATTATTAGGGGTCTACATGAGTCAGACAGTAATCAGATTTCTGCATTACAACCAGCCAATAAACTCACAGAAGAAGACTTGAATCGAATTTCATGTCATGGCTTAATTTTTTAAAACATCAAGTCACTTTAGCTGAAAATATGAACATACATCATCTACAAAATGAATATTTAAATCCTTCATTCCATCAAGCCTGTACTCTGTTTCAGTGTCACTCTAAAAGTGTTTGGTTGCTGTTGTCAGTCGTCACGGGGGGTCTGCGTTAAACGCTGCTTGCTTATTTCCGGTACCGTCGTCTGTTTTCACACATGCTCAGACCGAGAAATCCGAAAGAAATCAGAGTATGAGTTACATACACTGAGAAATCTGATCACTGAGCTAAAGTCCAGCCTCTTTATCAGATTTTTAATCAGATTTCTAGAACTTACTCTGATATAAGAAATCAGGGTTTGCAAAAATCCAGTTCTAATCAGATTATTAAGTGCATGTAAACACACTCTCAGACACATTTAACACTGAACCAAAAGATGTAAACAAAACTCAAAACAAATAAAAAGTCTAAACAGATAAAAAAAAATATGACATACAATAACTGTGATAATGTCCACTGAACTTTCTGAGTCATGCAGCTCTCAGTTCTGTCTCAGCTTCTTGGTTTTATTTACGTCTTGTTTCATCTGCCCTGAGAGATCAGAGCATTAAGGGTAAAGAGTGACCGCTATGTTGGCTCTGTCGGAGCTGACTGAGGGCTTTACCTACCAGGCCTTCCAGGTGCTGAGACTGATGCTGATGCAGTGCGAGTCTGAATGATGGGCCTGCTGGTGTTTCACCGAGTGCTGGCTTTCTGATTGGCTGCAGCCCTAAAAACAAACAACACATAAAAACCCACCACAGTGACAACCAGCAGACTGTCCCACTGGCCAAGACGAAACTACACCAGGATGACGCTCAGCTCATATTTAGATTACAAAACACTGGACACGAGACTAGATAACGCTTATATACTTACACAGGAAACAGCAGCAGAAAAAAAATCATGGGAAAAGTCAGGAGTTTAAATCAAATGTAAATCACTGCTCTCAGGACAAAACCTCATATCTCCATTTTTCATTTTTTGACATAATCTGAAAGAGACAGTTGACCTTTGTGTCAAAATCCCATGATGAACCAACAGAAATGGCCCAAAGTTATGGATTCACATATTAAATATCAAAATGTCCAAAATATTTAGCAAATACAAATAATGATATGTAAATCAAACATAACTTTTCAAAAATATTACCACTCATTTTCACTCATTCTGACACAAAAGTATTTCTCATGTTGCCATTTTTTTTATTTGCTGATGTTGCTGATCTTTTTGCTCTTTTGCTTCTGACTTGTGGCACTTTTTAACAGGGGGCGGGGCTTAGAAGACGTTCACCTGCACTCTCTATTGGTCCACTGATTTGGAGTGATGCTCGGTACAAACCGCCCCAGCCTGGCAAACACGGTGTACTGAGGACTGCTATGAGTTTTATTACACAAGTTTATGGGTCCTTGATACTTGATATTTTATACAAAACTACTTATTCAAAATATTTCTCCATTTACTGCCATTAAAGGCTGTGAATATTTTCCCTTCTCCTGTAAATGTACCTGTTTGGAGATGTGAGGTTTCGCTCTGCCAGCAGTGAAATGCAATTCATTAAATAACTTTGTAATCAGTAAAATAATTACGTGATTAAATGTAATTATTATGTAATTGTATTATTATTAATTGTAATTATTATGTAATAATATTATTATGTAATTAAAATGTAATTGAACATAAAGAAAAACTACAATAATGAATATAAACATTAAGCCATATTGTGAGACCTGCTAAATCGGTTTACCTGGAATCCGCACTTCAGGCACACTCGGATGTCATGAGTTCCGGCCTGTTCCATTTCCAACACATCCCGCTCCTTCATACAGTCCGAACAGACGGACCACAGGCTGCCGGTCACCGCCTTCTTCACCGAGTTCAGCTCCACAGCTTTACTGACATGCTGACAGGTCAGTCCTGCTCGAGAAGATTACAGTGAGAGTCAGGTTAAAACTCTAATGTACAAAATTCTCTCCTTATTGCATAAACAGTAGAACAAAGCCTGTTAGGAGATAAAAGAACATCTGATTGTGCCTAAAGTTTAATATGTATAGCACTGTGCAAAAGTCAGAGATCACCCTTTATTTTAATTTCCAGACAAAACAGCCACTACTGTCCACCAGGCTCGGAGACCAGAGTCATCAGAGTGAAGGGCAGAAAGTAAAGTAACCCGTCTGGGTGTAATTTTAGCCTTCGTCCTCCACCTAAGAAATTTCGCCAAAGTACGTCTGTTTTTAACTCAACGGGACGCAGAGAAGCTCATTCATGTCTTTATTTCAGTAGACTGGATTACTGAGATGCTCCGTTTGCTGCTCTTCCAAAAAACCCAACAGAGAAACTACAGCTGATTCAGAATCTGCTGCCAGACTTTTAACAACAACTAGGAAGAGAGTCGTCACACATCCCTCCAGCCACGACTCTCAGGACTCCAACTCCCAGAACCCCCTGGGCGATCATGTGAAGTCTAGGCCGTCTGGTTCCCCCTATTAGAGATCAGGTTCTCCTGACTACTGACGGTTTCGCTTGTGTACCTGATCATGTAACTATATCCAGCTCAGGCTCAGTTAGTTGAGGTGTTTCTTCCTCTAGAGCTGCTGAACGTTTTTGTCCGTGTTCTGATTTATTCCTCGCGTTTTCCTCCATTTTTACCTTTTCTTTTTATCAAATTTTAACCACATTGTTGTTTTAAAAATGTATTCCTTGTTTAAACGGCTTTGTTCTTTTATTTATATGACCCTCACTGTCTTGTGCATTTTGTGCCCCTTTTTATGATGACTGTCATTTGTTGGATTTTTATTAATTGCTGTTCTATTCTTGATTCTTTTTCATTTATCCTTCACTGTTGCTAATACTGTAAAGCACTTTGAGCTGCATTTAACGTAGGAAAGGTGCTATATAAATAAAGACTTGTAATTAATAATACAATAAATTATTATTATTATTATTATTGTTATTATCATGGTAAAAACATGAAACATGAATTCCAATCTGAGCGTTCGCACTAAGGCCGGACGGTCACAAATCGGATACGTATCCGATCAAGGACTATGTAACCAAACAGCTCAGATCTGACTTGAAAAGATCAGATTTGCGCCTCCACACAGCTCTGAAATGATCAGATCTGGATCACACTGAGGAAAATAATCTGATTTAAGCCACTTCAGCCTAGTAATGTGATTCCTAGCATCTAATATGTTCACCTTAAATCGTTGATTTCTGTTTAAAAATCTCTGGCAACCTTTGGCAATACAAATGTAGCATATTTGTCATGCCAATAAAGCACCTTGGATTGAATTGGATTGAATTGAATTGGAGTGAGAGAGGAGTGAGTGAGTGAGTGAGTGAGTGGGTGGGTGGGTGAGTGAGTGAGTGAGCGGGTGGGTGAGTGAGTGAGCGGGTGGGTGAGTGAGTGAGTAAGTGAGTGAGTGGGTGGGTGAGTGAGTGAGTGAGTGAGTTAGTGAGTGTGTGAGTGAGTGGGTGAGTGGGTGAGTGGGTGAGTGTGTGAGTGGGTGAGAGAGGAGTGAGTGAGTGAGTGAGTGAGTGAGTGAGTGGGTGGGTGGGTGAGTGTGTGAGTGGGTGAGAGAAGAGTGAGTGGGTGAGTGAGTGAGACAGTGGGTGAGTGAGTGAGCGAGAGAGTAGTGAGTGAGTCCTCTACTTACCACTAACTTCATCCGAGGATTCCTCATCGCGAGGTTTCTTCGGCTTGTTAGTCCGCTTTGTCATGTCGGTGGTCTTTGAAGAAAAGGGGTCTTTCAGCCGCATTTGTATCTGCAAAACACGAAACACTCATTAAACACGTTTAAAACCTGAAAAGCTTTCAGTTCTTTCTTCTGTGTTAAGGATGCACTAATGCTGCTTAGGCCCAATGGTCAAACACATACTGACCACTACATGAAGAGCATCTCTGACTAACAGTTAGAAACTCCCTCTCCAACTTTACCTGTGAAAAGCTGAATTCCAGCAGATGTGATGTCAAACCCAACACAGCTGGCTTACAAACTGAATAATGTACTGAATGTTACAGCATTCAATGATACAGCGATATGGATGCTCCCCACTTTTCCTCATGTGGCCCTTCATAGATCAGACAGAGGAAAACATTCCCTTTCTTTCTCTCTTCTACATCAGCCATTACGAATAAATACAATGTTCGTTATTCTTTATTATCACTTGTGTCGTGTGGCTGCTAATGTTTATACACTGCACAGCTCCTTATGAATAACAAATAAACCTGAACCTCACAAGAGGCTGCAATTCTACTACTTTTACCAGAAGAGTTCATTAAAGAGGAATTTCTCCATTTTTTCAAAACTTCTGCATAATTAACTGGTTCAGATGTAAACAGAGCCATTCAGAGTGGTTTGGTGTGAAACGCTCTGTTCTAGAGAAACTTACCGAGTCAGAATTGTTCACAGTGGTGGTGATAGGAACCAGATGTCCACCTCTAAAAGCTCCCTCACAGAAAGCTATGAAACGGTCAGATTTGTGCTGCCTGATGTCTGACATATTGTTTTATAATAGTTTTGTGACGACGTTTTGACTTACAATGTATTTGGATCTATTTAATCAATTTATGGCGGAGGGGCACACGCAGAGCACTGTGAGGCAAAATAGTCCCCAAAGAAAATTTATCCTTCCAGATTTATGATCAATTTACCATCATCAACATTACATATAAACCTAAGAAGGCACGTGCAGGTTCACTGGCAGCTTGGTAAAGTAAAGGTGGTTATGTGTGTGTTACAGACACCGTGACCTCTGGTTCCCATCACCACCACTGTAACGACACGATCTCTACGAGTCTTACGATCTTAACAAGTTCATGTCAAACGACTCTGATTACACATTTAGGAATGAATTATTCAGAAATTTTAAAAGACTGGTGGAATTCCCCTTTAAGATGAGCCGTTTAAAGCCGGACTGGTGACTACAGGCCAGCCTTAGACCGCTAACCGCAGTTCCGGTCATACCAGCTACAGTCCGTGTTCAAGCCGCCCCAGCAGAGCCAGAACTCATCAGAACCACCATAAATAAGAGCCGCAACCCGGTGCGTTGTGGGTAAAAGTCTGCAGGTGTCCGAGCGACTCACCTCTGTCCCGGCGCGTCAGTCAGAAGCTAACGCAGGTGTGGCCGCCGAACCTGGCCTGCAGTCCTGATAGACCTGACCCCTCCGCGTCTCTGTGCGCGGCTATGCGGCCAATAACGGGGAAACGACGCGGCTTTCCGCGCTGTTTGTGTTAATTAGCGCTGTTTGTGTTAATTAGCGCTGTTTGTAGCACTGAGGCACAACACGGAGACACGCGCGGCTGATCACGTGATCAAATAGGGACCGTCATAGTGACGCCTACGGAAGCCCATAAGGACCAAACGCGGAAAGCGGTTGGGATATTCACTTTGACTCAGATGCTCGGTGGGCTCGGTCCGATATTCGCCCTTGGTTTGTATTAAAATGGTTCCTCCGTTTTACTCGCGGCGATGTGATCTACTGTCCGCTTGGATACTAAGTTACACTCTCTTCCAGATATTTAAGTCCCTGAAAATGAAGGTAAATGAAGGTGAATAAAGGTGAATAAAGGAACAGAAGGGTAAAGGTTTATCTGTATCTCTCCTCTTTACTCCTCTCACTTCGCTCCTCTGAGCTCAGATTTTTAGTTTCCTTTTGAACCTCCTCTCCTCAGCGAGCTCCTCTCTTGTCGGCGCTGCTCGTGTTCCTGTGTTGTGATCATCACCGCTGTTTGATCTTTACCGGTTGTAATGCGTGTCTGGTTTTACTGACCGAGGAAAAACGCGCGGAGTTCACTGTCAGTTTTTCTGACTTCAGTACTAAATTAGCAACAACAGCAACGGCGCGAAAACCTTTTTACCAGATCAATGAAGATCAATGAAGATCAGTGACTCTCTTTTGGATGCTAATCCAGTCTACCAAAGGCCGTATGTACTGGTCTCCCAGCGTCTCCCAGTGTCATTCCTGTGTTCTGCCTGCACTGGGGCTCCTCTAAGAGGTCATTAACTGACTCGAGTCTAGACTTGTACGGAAAGGTTGATGTTCGCAGCTTCTGCAGTGTTTAGTGTCCAGCAGGACATCAGCCCTCATCATTTCACAGAATCCGTCGATCAAAATTCAGGATTCACTTTTACACTTTTTACTTTCACAGGAAACAAACTTCTCCATTTAATGACGTCACTATCTCAAAGAGCGCTAATTTGTAGATCGGTTCACTTCGTCTTTCCGTGCTGGGTGTGATGGAGCTCACAGTAACTCTTATTATCGACTATTATCGATTAACTTTTGTTTTGATTATTTTGATATTAAATGAAGTGAAATAATGTCTTTTAGCGCTGCGCTGAAAACCGGAAGTTCTCCTCACGCTGGTCTTGCCGACGGGGAGCACAAACAGGAAGTGATGAACTCCGCCGGTCACTCTTTAAGGCTGGACGGGCAAACAGAGCGCAGCGACGCTTTAGCGCTGATTTAGCGCTGAAATCCCGTTTAATATGGCTTTAAAGATCTGCTGTCGGCTGGCGCGGCGCCTCGCGCGTGCTGTGGGGCGGAGAGACGGCTTTGCTGCAGGACCTCCCGCGCGGCGCTCGGCGGCGGGTTTACAGTGTGAGATTTAATAAACCGGTTGTTTCGTATTTACTTCATATTTCTGTGTTGGTTTTAGTCTCAGTACAAGTATTTAAAGGCGTTTAGATCGACTGCAGAGCTTGTAGTTCGCTTTGTTGTGTCAGCCAGTAACTTATGTGTTGATCTTAAAAGGGAAACTCCACCGATTTTTCAAAGTTTCTGCATAATTAACTGGTTCAGATGTAAACAGAGCCGTTCAGAGTGGTTTGGTGTGAAACGCTCCGTTCTGGAGAAATTTACCGAGTCAGAACTGTTCACAGTGGTGGTGATAGGAACCAGACGTCCACCTCTAAAACCTCCCTCACGGAAAGTTACTACATGAAATGGTTATGAATTCACTGTTGTAGTCATGGCGACCCCTGGTTCCTATCATCACCACTGTAAAGACATCTGAACCATTTCACACCAAACCACTCTGAATCACTCTGTTTACATTTCAGCAATCAAATTAAACAAAGTTTCAGAAAAAATCAGTGAAATTCTCCTTTAGGTTCACTTTGACTTTGTTGACGTCGACTGTGGCAGCAACACTAAGGCTGATCTGTGACCTCATTCAAGCTCTGGGTCTGTGGTGGGTTTAAAGTGCCCTCTTCATTTCAGACCAATATGCTGTTGCAAAGCAGAGGCCTTCGTGTTCCTGGCGAAGCCTCTGTTCAGCTAGCCAGTCGTCTCCAGTGGTGACTTATGAAGAGTTGAAGAAGCTGCTAGTAGCCAAGTCGGGTGTGGTCGTAGACGTACGAGAGCCCTGGGAGCTAAGAGAGTATGGCAATATCCCCGGGTCCATTAACGTCCCCTGTGAGTGCTCATTTATCTCCCCGAACAGCTGAACTTCTAATTTACAGACTTTGAAGCTGCATAACAGCATGCAGTTTCACTCCTGTCCTTCATATAAGCACTGATTCATTATTTTATTAGTTATTATTAATTTATTTGTTTATTATTGTGTAATAGACAATGTAAAATCTTATCTCACAAGCAGTTGAATCACCACCTTCAGAGATCAGTTCGAGATGCAGTTTTGTCTCAAAGTCTCTGACAGAATCAGCGCTTAGTCTAGCAGTGAACTTCACTGTCATTTGTTTATATTAACATTACGTGACCTATAGTCACCTGCCCAGCCTGTATGTCACACACCTGTTTACTGAAGCCTTTCTTTTCTTCCCCCCTGCAGTGGGGCAGGTGAACGGTGCTCTGCAGCTCAAACCAGAAGAGTTTAAGGAGAAGTATGGAGGCAGCATGCCTTCGACCACCGAAAACGTGGTCTTCACCTGTCTGGCGGGAGCCAGGAGTATCAAAGCGTTGGAGGCTGCCGTGTCTTTAGGATACTCCAAGTAAGAAACAGTTTTAACTCCTCTTCACCCGAACATGATTTAACACGTTTTAAAATCTACAACAGACGTATATGTTGGATTATATTTATTAGATGCTTAATAAAACTTGTTTTTGTTTATTTACTGTATATATTTCATCATTTATCTTTATATGGTATATTAATTAGTAATGAGAACCATGTTAAACATCATAAGTAAATGTAAAATATCTTTATTGAGCAAAACAGTTAAAAACAATAGTGAACAGTAAACAGATAAACCTGTGGTGTTTACACGTCGGCACTCAGCAGCTTCTCTGGCTCAAAAACGGAGCTGAATGTTGCTGCTGAGTGATACAGCCGACCGACAGAGGCAGATAACGGACGCACAGGCCCGGCTAGCGGGCTGCTGTGCTAATGTCTAAATCAAGGCTAAATGCTATCATTATGCCGAGAGTCCGGCGGTTCCTTCCGCTCTCTAAGTAACATTAACTCAGACTGTGAGTGACCACACAGCGGCAGGCGAGTGACACTGAAGGAAGCAGCTCAGCCGTTCAGGTTAGCGGCTCCGTTAGCGTGTTGTTTACACCAAAAACTGCCGCTACAGATTCAGTCTTGAGCATTTTTACTGTTGCTTGTCATCTCTGCGTTTAAGTGGCGATACCGATACAGTATCAGTATCGGTGCAACGCTACGTTTTAGCTAACATTACGCAAATTCTCACTGTCTCTTTCACTCCCGCTCACTCTCGCTCGCTCACTCTCGCTCTCCCTCCGCCATCACTGAACTGCGTTCATGTGGGTAAATTGGAGTGAAAGCGTTTTATTTGTTCAAAACAGGTTAATTTAAAAAATGCTCCATTTTCTTACATGGTTCACACTAAGGGGTGTCATAATGTGCATGTTAATGAGCTAATATTAGTGTTTTTTTTCTTCCCCCAAATGTGAACTGTGAACGGTCAGACCTCATCCTATAAAACGTGTGATAACACGAATGATTTCTGTAGTTTAGTTTAATACAGTCCATCATAGTTTTTTTAAACTGAACGTAAAACTGTAAAAACGAAGGTCGCCTAAATGTCTCAGTTACCAGAGTGAGGAGAAAACATGAGTGGCAGCGGCTTCTAATCCACACAGGATTACTGATCACTGCTTATCCAACAGCCGCCAAGTGCCGAGTGTGAAAGAGCCAAACGAGTAGCTGTGACGTGGGTGTAGCCTCTAATAACTGACCATTTATACAGTCCAGCTTTATTCAGTTGTGCATTCTGTTGTTGGGAGAGATGGAGCCACGTTAAAGAAGCATTTTAGCCGTTAAGAGCCGCACTTTGCATACAAAAACACAAGATCTGGATATAAATGAGCTTGTAAATTAATAATGAACATATATAGTGTGTGTGTGTGTGTGTGTGTGTGTGTGTGTGTGTGTGTGTGTGTGAATATATAATTGATTTTGTCTTCTAAGAAAACAACCTGTGCCAGGAGGCGGTACTTGACCTTATCGGCTAATGTTATTTTGACCAGCTCACTGCTGCGTGACCAGAGAAATGAACAAAAAAGATGGTCAGTTTTGATTTTGGGTTGACTTTAAAATCAGTGTGTTCTGTTGTCTGTTCATGCAGTGCTCAGCACTACCCTGGAGGATGGCAAGACTGGGCCAAGCATGAAATCCTGCAGACCAAAGACTGACATCCTCTTTATGGTAGCACTGTGATTTTAATATAAAAATGATTAATAATATGAAGCTTGCTGTGGACACTCCTCTGCATTTAGTGTTAAAGGACAAAAGAAACTGGACAGGAAACAAGAGGAACTGCTTGGAATGAGGTGCACCAACACTACTGACTGATATTTTGTCATAGTTATGGTAGAATTTTAACTTTAACAGTGTAAGACTATCGAGGATTCGATACAGCGGAACAGTGCGAGTGATTTCAGCTGTTGTAGTGGTTTCATTAATGTACCATAATTAGTCAAAAAGGAAAAAAGCCCAAAACTGTTGACCTCAGCTGGCATTTCTACAGTCGCCATTTTTCTCTGAGTTTTTGCCAGAACAAGTGAACTGGTTAATTAAAACTGCTCAGAGACCCTTTCTAGTCAAATTAGGTACGTTATTTATTTTTTCAGAAGATGTTTGTGAAGAGATTAGATATGAGAGAATTCACTTGCATAAGTAAAGAGGAAGTCAAAGTAAAATAAGTGAAATTGGAGAAAGTAGGCCTCCTAACGGCCGTGCCAGACCTGGTAGACCGTCAAAGCTATGACCTTCAGATAAACAGTGCTAAAGTTTTCATCTGAGAGAAAATCAAACTCCACTTTCACTCAGATCTGAAAACAATACTGTAAATATATATAAGATAAAATACTGGAACGCACAATGAAAAAGCCTGTACATTAACACTCCTAGCAAATCAGCTTTTTCTGTTTTCATTAGCTGACTGAGCACTTCCTGTTTTTTTTTTGTTTTTTTTCCTGAACAAAGTTTTTGAAACTGTCTATCGACACTTACCTCATTTTCTCAGTGTTACAGCAGACAGATTTGACTTTATACACTCCAAAGACAGAAGTCATACTGTGTTCTCTGCTACTCCGCCTTAAAATGTGATTGACTGACAGTTTTGGTGTGTCATTGAAATTGAAGTCTCAATCACTGTGAATTGAAGTTTAAATGAAAGAATGGAAAATTTAGGATGAGAATTAAAGGGGAATTCCACTGATTTTAAAGATAAATCCTGCATAATTCAGCAGTTCAGATGTAAATAAAGTGGTTTGCTGTGCACTGGTTCAGATTTCTTTACAGTGGTGGTGATAGGAACCAGGGGTCGCCATGACTACAACACAAATAGACATTTTATTTATTATCTAGAACCACCAGTGAACCTACACGAGTCTTCTGACTTTATATGGAATGTTGATGATGGAAAATAGTGGAAAATCTGAAATAATTAAATAAGTTTTCTTTGGGGACTATTTTGCCTCACAGTGCCCTGCATGTATCCCTCCACCATGAATGGAGTTTAAGTTCTCAAAACTATCATAAAACAGTGTCTCAGTCATCAGGCAGTGAATTCATAACCATTTCATGTAGTAACTTTCTGTGAGGCATCAACCTTTTCAGACGTCTGGTTCCTATCACCACTACTAAGAACAGTTCTAATTCACTGTGTTTCTCTAGAACTGAGTGTTTCACACCAAAACGCTCTGAATGACAATGCAGCTTAACCATTTAATTATGCTGATTTTTTTATTTGGTGGAGTTGCCCTTTAAGACTAGAATCAGTCAGTGAACAAAGATAAAACCAGAAACTGGAAGTTGTATTTTAGCTTTGTTGCCAGTGAATTGCTTTATGTTGCTGTTGAAATGAAGGTGTTGGTGCATCTCTGCATGGTGGAAAATGCACTGTGCGACTGTAATACTGCATTATGAATTAGTGTAAACCAATGTAAACAATGATCTTTGAAAAAATCTATGCAATGTGTGCATTAGTGTCAGGTTCTCTCTGGGGGGCTTTGTGACTTGATTACAGGTGGATGAAGAAAAAGAGGCTCCTCAGTAAATGATATGTATGTGTACCTTAATGAAGACTGAGGACGTGTGTAATTTTATAAAAGTGAAAATAAAATTTAAAAAGCATTTTGTGTATATTTTGCTTTTGTTTTGGTAACATATTGATACCTTCTTAGAACAGAGTAGGAATGTGTTTTAGTGCTCACACAAGCACAGGGAATTCAATTAGATGTGGTTAAATGTATATAAATAACAAAATATGAATAAATACTCTGTAAAACAATAACTTTTTATTTATTTACTTATCTGTTCAACTTCTTAATGGAAATCTAATGACACTTTGTGGTGTGTTAAATAACGACACACTCACTTGTTACCAATTTAAACACTTTTTGTGTCATATTGTTTCTGATTAAACACATTTCCATAATGTTTGATCCATAAATGGGCACAGAAACATTTCAACAAGTTTTGTGTTAAAAGTAAGATCAATCATGTCATCATCAGCTGACCGCACTGATGCGTCCAGTCAGAGACAGAATGCGTTGTTGCTTTAGGAGTTTTAATGCTGAACCTCTGTAATGTTACTGACATAAATCTCGTTAAGATCAACTCATTTTGATAAGTACCACAGACTGAAGAGTCTTTTGCCCAAAAGGCTTCCCAGCATTCTTAGCAGTTTTGTTGGTTCCTGTTAATTAATATTTTTTTTTCATTTTCATTCTCTGGATGATGTTATTTCTGTGTTGTAGCAGATTCGCCTGCTAAACTGTCCAGTTTGGACGCCTTTTAATTGTTTTGGTTTTTCTCACAATGATGGTGTTTTGTGTTGAGGTTTATCAGTTCAGCCTGTAGCTGCTGTGCTATCAGGTGGTCAGTAAACTGACTCTTAGAGTGGAAGGAGTGAAATAAATAGAGTGAGAGAAACAGTGAGGTTATCAATGTAGAGTCTTGATGTGATCTGTGGTGATGGTTCAGGATGGATGACTCACTGTATTGTAATTGGATGAGAAAATGTCGCCTGAGTGTTTGAACTCGTTTAGCTGTCGTTTTAATCTTGAAAACACGCAAAAACACCCAGCCCTGCTGAGCTTCGCCGGAAAGAATCTCACACACCAGATCAGCAGGTCAGCATCAGAAAGGATGAACGCTCACAGATAGACGGATGGATGGATGGATGGATGGGTAGCAGATAGCTCACTAAATAAGGACCCCCCACCATTTGAAGTGATGGGATCCATGTTGATCTTAACGTGTGTTTAGTGGGAACCGACGAAATCCCAGGTGTGGCTGTATGTTTGAAGTTGTGGCTCTGAGGAAAGACAGTAAAACACCTTATAACTGGGCTGCATTTGTTTTGGTTTGACTGGAAGCGAAATCACCTGCTAACAGAAGCCGACAGAAATAAGAGCCTGGAAATGTGAAAAGTGTCCGTTGACCACACTCTGTCTGGATGGGTAGGATGACCCTCCCTCACTCCATCACTCAGTGTGATGCTAACATAAGGAGCTAGTTATCCAAGTGTGTTGAGCTTTCTGATGACGTTGTGTCAGCGGCAGTTTGAAAAGATGTGGTGGCTGAAAACAGGTGTCTCAGAAGAAGCTCAGTGGGTGGAAATGGACGAGACTAAATGAAATCTGACAGTGTAGTACAGTGTAGTACAGTTCTCAGAGCTCTGTACCGTTAGAACTGGCTATCAGATGGCTAAACATAGCCAGCTCTTCATACAAACTCAGAGAGATTTTTGATCATTTATATTCTGCTTTTGGAACATTTTTACTTCTGAAGTATTTTAGGAATTAAATGTCATTTATTGTTATGACACATGAAATACATCAAAACGTGATTTAAAACCTGCTCACCTCCTTCATGTGTAGATTGTTTGCCCTCCACCCACCACAAACACTCCCTGACAGAGCAGCCCAACCAGAGTGAAGCTTAGCTTGTTCTCCTGTTCAAATAGTGATTCTACAAAAAACTGTACAGTCAATTCATCGTTTTAAGACTGAGGGATGTGAGTTTAGTTTAGTGTTAGTTTAGAAACGATGGAAAGTAAAAAGACTGACTCTGTTTCCAAAACACAGATGATGACCTCCTTCCTGTCGGTCCGTCTATTCCTGCTGTTGATAAAACGATATGAGCTGCTTGTGTGTAAATAAACACACCCTCTCCACTCTGATCAGCATCCTGACATTCATAGCATTCATCTCTCTGATATTTACGCTATTTTTAACATAACACTCATTCACTTCACAACAGACAAACAAGTCCATGTATTCTCAGTATATTTATACAGCAGTACAGTCATAAAAAACTCACACTTGTTTTTTATATCATTTTATATCATGTGAACATTTCAGGAACAATGAAACAATAGAAATGTTGAAAGCTGTGCCTTTGTAGTTTCTTAAAGAATTTACAACATTTTCTATATTGATTTTCTCTTGTTTTTTTTTAAATAAAACAATGTAACATATGTAAGGAAACAGTTAAAAACAAACCATTTTCTACTCCATTATGAATTACAGTGAAAAGTGAATTATAGTGAAAATACACACCTATTCAGCCTACAGCAGTTTGGCCCCGCCCATTCATGCTGAGGATATAGCATGAACATTTACCATATTATGCAAACGTCAGAGATATTTTTGGGAAGATTAGATACAAGATAAGGAAGAGAAAAGTCAAAGGAAAAAAACTAGAGTTTCCAAAACTGGACTTCAAAGTGGAACTCCTAGCAACCGTGAAAGACCTGGTAGACACCAAACACATCGCCATCAGATAAACAGCACTTAGAGCTTTCATCCTTCAGAGAAAAGAGAGACAAGCTCTTCTCTTTCTTCAGATCTGAAAACATCCACAGGTGTTTCTGTCCATCCTTCCACTGTGAGAAGACGACTCAGCGCTGTGGGTCTGAAAGGATGTGTAGCTGATCGAGAAGAACCTCACTGAGAAAAGGAGACGGACACATCAAACAAAGAAGCTGAACGATGGACTGACCACCCCAGAGTCCAGACCTCAACACCACTGAATGTGTTTGATTACTTCAGAAAATGATCAACCAGCTTCTAAGACTGAACTTTGAAGGTGAGTCTGCAGATTCTTTGAGGAACTGAAAGCAATAAAGCTGAACAAAGAAAATGTTTACTTATTGGCTGTTTGGACTGCATTAAATAAACGAAGGGTGGTCTCTGACTTTTGCACAGTGCTGTATATTAAAGACGCTTAAAGGCACAGCAACAAAAATCGCCTGTTTAATTTATTTTCTGCTATAAAGCTACTATGTTGAATATGTGAGGTTTTCTTTTGTTTTTGTTAAATCAGTTTGTGTTACTGAAAACAGCGCTTTTACAGGCAGATGCACTTCCTCGTTTTAGGGCCTTATGTTGTGCATTCCTGGTTTATAGGCTGCTGACCGAGTGGATGTAGCTTCATCAGGGCAGGTTTATGTGATGTATTTGTAAAATAGTCA